CCGTCCAACACATTGTCGATACTGGAGAAGTACTGTATCGCCGATTTGTAGACCATGAAGCCAAATATTTTTCTCGGTATGGTGATGCACGTCAGAACCAGTGCGAGGTACCATTCGATCTCGATGATCGGTCTCCGGAAGAGAAAGCCAGATACTCGTCTATTACCGCAAATCTTGGAACTATTAGCTTCGTTGTGATTGTAACATTTATACGCTAACGCAGTGAGTACGTAAGTAGTCATGCATATCACTGTCATAGCGTACAAGAGTATTCTCAGTAAATAGAGCTTGCGAATTTTCTCCCACTTAAGATGCAGGAAGGCCATGACCAGCGGATGCGACAACAGATCCTTTCGATGCTCCTGTACGAAAGTGTTTATGAAGCTGGTCTCACACTGATTACCGCTGGGAAAGAGAATGTCGAAGTGTAGGCGCATTTCGAATTCGCGATTATGCGATACCGGCCTGGTCAGTCTGATGGAGGCGTCCAAACGCTGTCGGAACACATGCAAGGACTCGGGAATCTTCTTCAATATAATATTCAGAGCAGACAGTCCAGTGCACGTGGTCGCACTGATGTCAGCGCCCGCCCAAATAAGCGCATCCACGCATCGGGATTGCTCGTTCAGCGCGGCAATGTGAAGGGGGGTGAAGCCGGTCCGATCGACCGCGTTCACCAAGGCGCCGCGTTTCAACAACAACTGTACCAACTCGGCGGACGAGTCCGTGCTCATTACGGCGAAGTGCAGGGGTGTTCTATGCTCCCTATCTACAGCGTTCACATTGGGCGCGCTAGCTGATAGCAGCTCGACGCATGGTATTGATTGCACGAAACAGGCCACGTGCAACGGCGTCTGACCCAAATGATTCTTCTCGACGATGCTGGCACCGCGCTCGAGCAGCAGCTTCACTGTCTCCACCGCCTTCGCGCGAACGGCACTGTGCAGAATAGGCTCGACCACTTCCTGACAGACGTAATTAAGCTTAGCACCATGATCTAATAACGTGGCTGCGGCGTGCCAGCTGTTACCGAGCGCCGCGAAGTGAAGCGGCGTGTAACGAGTGATGAGGCTCTCGTAATTCACGTCGGCGCCCTTCGCGATCAAGTACTCCACGCAGGCGACCTTGTCACCCAACGAAGCCGCGAGAATAGCATTCACGCCGGTCCGTGGTTCAACGTAGTCGTAACGCGCTCCGGCATTCTCCAGTTCCGGCAGATGATGCAGCAGACCGCGATAGGATGCCCAGATGTAAGCGACATTCCGTAGTCTCTCGTTTTTGCACGCATCTGGAAGCACGCGACTTTTCTCCATGTGCAATAGTAACCTCGTCTCCGTCGAATCGACGATGGACCATATAGCCGATCTCAATTTTGCACCGTTTAAGTAGTGGTTCTTGCAGCTTTCCAGATTGTCAAAGAAGAGGGAATCGTCGACCGGTGGTGGTTCCCCGGCGTCGATTTCAATCCGATCATTGTCGAACTTCGATACAGTTCCATCATCGATAGTGATTTTTTGTGGATAATCCTCCGCTGCATACGCACATCTTAGCGACCTGTAAGTGGAAGCTAATCTAACGGATAGCGGCTCGCTTTTGTGACGACTATTGAAGCTTCTAGTGGAATGAAAATGTTGTTCATCATCGTTCAAAATAGTCGGTATCTTCAGACTGTTCGTCTCGAGATTCTTCCCTTTAGCACTCTCTCCTAATGAATCTCGGTCATTCTCACACATATTCGCTCGAAATTATAACTTATTTACGATTGAGAATAAGTTTACTGTTTAATTTCGCTCTTATTTCTTCGAGAAGAAATCGAGTTTTTTATTCAAATTTTATTATTGCTATTTTTTCTGTTACCTCAGGTTTTCCGCATTTTTACGCGCAAAGACTCGTATTCCTCGTATTATAGATTTTATCTCGCTTAAATCATTTTTCATTGGAATAATCTTATCATTTTTTTTTGCCATTCCACATATCTTGTTCAGAATAATTCAGCTAATAGCTATGTTATGTTGTACGATGTTTAAGTTTCCAATGTAAACGCCGTTTCGTAATTAAGCACTAAGTATTCGTACCGTTATGCGATGATTCGCGCAGTGAAGCATCCTAATTATTGCAGTCGCGTCGCTGTGTGTCTCTTCAGTCCTGTCTTTTTTTCTCTCTCGTTCTTTTCTAAGGCTATCACGTCACGTCTACGAGTCGTTTCGTTTAGAGCACTTTAAAAGAGGATTATTATTGTTACTATTATTATTATTATTGTTATTTATTATTGTACCACGATCTTGAATATGACCGAGTGTCTTATATCCAAACTAATCAGATTTAATTATGACGCATTTATTTCCGGACAACTTATGATTAATGATATCTTCTTTAATATATGTGACACGCGCAATCAAAAATAGAGATGATTAAAGATTGCAATTCTTGTCACCTGATTTGTTAATATCTGACTCGTCAAATATACATATTATATATATATATATTATTTTTTTATAACAAAATATTGCATTACTGAGTGTGCTTTTAAGTTTATCGCACATATATTAGCACAATTTCGTCTCTTGCCTTTTAATAATTTGCGTCGTTAGTAGTATTGCTGTTTATGTGTTAGTATTTCTTCTGTTTTTCACGTGCTCTTTTAGGAAGTTCAATATTAATATTCCTACTAATTTCGAATTAGTATTATCGAATATCTGTCTGTCACTGTGTAAGAATCTCAAAAGTAATGCAAATAGCACGATGATATATTTTTCACTGTCACCGCACTCTTCTCTTCCTCTCGCTACCGGCTTCGTATGTGTGTGATCGTCACTTCGTCCTCTCGTTTAACGCTCCCACTTTTTGTGACACGTATTTATAAGAGACTAGAGATAGGCCGAGGAAACCCCGTGTTTTCGACTCTAGAATGCAAAAGCAAGCCGACAAGGATTTCGGTCGCATTTTCTAATCGTAAAAATTATGTCAGCTCAAGATGTCTATCACTGACCAGGGTACGCTTGACAATTCAACGAGCATTACAGCGGACTTAACTGGTTCGTACGATCGCGCTACACGTACTGCATGACGTACTCTGCATACGTCTCAGCCGTTCGCGTGGGAAGAGGAATCTGCGAGCAGAGGGGCAAGACGCATGATTAATAAAATACATAAATATAAAGAGATGTAGGTCGAATTCGAGATATTACTTTACTACTTTACGCGCACCCCTGCATACACGAGCCCTGCCCTCCTGTTAAATTCGAGATTAATCTGGATGAGACTGGAAAGTACCGCTGAAAGATCACTCGAGTTTTATCCTAGGACATTGTTATTTACACATGTGTTATCGTTAAAAAGTATACCGTTAAACACAGATATTTGCGTTCTTAATCAGAATGATAAATCGTTTTCTCCTTATTGAAAATCAATGGGTGAAGGTTGAATAAAGAGACAAGAAAGGAGAAAAAATGTTTTTAGCAAACTAGTGTTCTATTTGCTTAAAAAATAGAATGTTTTCAAAGTAAAGGCCATAGAGAGACAAAGAGAGTTATTTACATTACAGACAACTAATGTATATAGGAGCAATATAAAATTACATTTTTAATATTAATTTTTACAGTAAACATGGTTTAAAGTTATAAGCTCATTTTTTATTTAGCGCCTGTCAAAAATGCAATAAAACTAGATAAATCAAAGGAAATAAATCAATCGTCATTCGTTATTCTCTTCTGTTTAATTCCGTTCGCATGTTATCTGTTTCTTTCAATATTTTATTTTTATATTCCATAATATTTTATACCTTTTTTCCATAGCTTCCCGAATCTGAACTGCGTATATCTAGGCAAACTCCTTTCACCACCACGTGATCGCGAATATGATATCATGATCTTTTTACGTAATGTTTAACTTTGTATTCATTTTAAGTACATTTGCAAGATCTCTGCCAAGAGATATTCTCAAGTTGCTAGCTGCCTATAAATTGTTGATACGTAAAATTTACAAAAAAAACATTGCGCACGAAATGAATATTTCGTGCTAGTACTCACTCTAGTAAAAAAAAAAAAAAGTAGCTTTTAAACAATCGAATTCAAGACACGAAACAGTTTTGACCGTGGTTTTGACTCGCGGCGATTCTATTTTAGCTATGAACGGAAACTTAGGTTCCACGACGCGATGAGATATGTAGCGCATTTTTTTAATCATAATTTTTTATTCATATCTCAGATGATTGATCTGAAGAATGGAAAGGCACCAAATTGTCTGACAGCTGAACACGGCGAGATATCGCCAATTTGTGTGCGAGATTAAGTACAGAGTCCAAAGTACGGAGCCTTCAAAATTTTAATCCATTAAATTCTCTTCCAAGAGGTAGATCTATAACTCAATGTCCCCGTTTTATCTCATTACCGAGCTTCCTATTCTGACAGTTGAACTTTCAACGGATGAGAACTTATGCAGATTGGAACCGGTTTTGACTGTCAGCCTACGCATCCCGTTAATGTTATATATGTATTATTTGACTTCGTTGAAAATCAAAGTGAAACTTGACCGGCGAAAGACAACTTTAAAACTTTCCTATTAAATTTGATCTTGATATAAAAATATTTATTTGTTCCTTTAACGATACATCTTGGTAGAAAGTTTACAACAATAATGTGTATAGTTACATTTACTCAAATTAAAATAGTATAAGTCTAAAAAACAAAAGAAAATTCTTACATTACAATTTTTTTTTATAGAACTTATATAATAAAGAATTAAGAGTAAAGAAGATTAATAAAAATATACTAATGGAAAGCAATCAGACGTAACGTCGCAAATCAAAAAATTGTATCAGTCTGAAGATAATAATTATATAAATAAACATATATGGGTTTATTATACATAAGCTTTATATATGTTGACTCTTCAAAAACGAGGAAATTTTTTTAACAAGCAGATATTTTACAAAGACTTGTACAAATGCGAAAGAATGTTTAGAAAAAATATAAACGGACTGTCCTGTTTTCTCTAAGGTCTCATCAATATACGTATGTTCGTATCCGTGTCACGAAATCCATGTTACTTTAGATACTAAATACATACTAAACGTTTCTACTGGAAAAAATACATATATGCATATAGTAAATAAAGTCTTTCTCCTAAGGGGAATATCTCGTGCAATTACGGCGTCAAAATTTATTCAAACGCAGCATTTATTATATGCATAAAATTATGCAAGCCCCTAGTGCTTTTTATATAAAATTCATATGTGAAAATGGACGGATTTAAATATAATTGATATTGGACACAACCACATTTGTATCACAGAAATAAAGCGATATCTCATGAGCAAGATTTAGATAGCGAGTCTAAATCTAGTTTGCTGGAAGTTATAAAACGCCTATAGAAATAAAGATCAATTCGCGATATTTTAATTATTCATGATGTATCGTTCCACGAATCCCGAGTTTTAGAATCTCTTATCGTTGCCCCACAATCGAATTTCAAATTTTGAACGATTGTGACGTCCTTTCCAACTCAAAGGGACTTCCAACTTATCTTGTTAATGGCAGTTTTATTTATTTATTTTACCATTGTGCGCTTTTATAAGCTCTCGAAGAAGACTATGATTTTTCTCGCAAATTTCCTTAAGTTCCGCGATATCCTCTTTGAATTTGTTGCAATCGTGTTGCAGCGTATCCTCGTCGAAACCACGACGACGACACGTGGTCGCGTCAGCTTTGAGAGCCGTTCTTGCGTGATAGGCCGCGCTGTAAGTTTTTCTGCGCGATGCGCCGAAATTGTTCTGTCCGTCTCCTTCCTTGGCTATTTTATAGGCGGCCGAGAGAACATCGCGCGGTAATCTCTTCTCTCTGAGGTTTTGCGGGCGAACAGTCAAAACGGCTCGTAAAGGTGACGGCAGGAACAGCGTGGTCCATCGCATGCACCTGATGAAACGTTTCGACGGCATAAATCCTAAAAAAATCGCAACCTCCACGTCGTGGATCAGTTTCGTTTGGCGAACGAGTTTTGCGAGACCTGCCGTCTTTTGCAGGCCCTTGATATCATGCACGGCTATGCCGATCAGCAGATTCATCAGCACAATCGTGACGAATAGAAGGAACAACACGAAGGAGAGTTGGGCCGAGACTTGTAGCAGGATCCAGGAAGTTCCTCCAATACTTTCATAAAGGCCACCCTTATCGGATGAGAAGAAGAGGTCCTCGAAACCTAACTCGCCAGTCATCATCGCGAGAACCTTGATGAGACCCGTGTGTGGACTGCTGAACGACTTGGAATGTGGAAATATCACGCAGAAGCTCGCCGTAAAGCCCACCAACAGGCAGGCGTAGGCCAAAAGCAGCTTGAACACTTGTGCCTGCACGCTAGTGAACATAGCGACGTAAGCACCGAACATCGGCAACTGCCCGATCATTAGCATCAGATTGCTCCAACCGCAGAGCACGGCGAAGGCGCCCAAGTGACTTTGCCAGGTATATGTTTTCCCCGTATACACAAAAGAGGTAGCAAACACACTCAGTATCACGCACCACTCGACCAGGTTTTCTATCTGCGTAAAAAACTGTCTGACAGATTTGTAACTGGGAATGACAGTAAACTTGCGAAAAGTCTCGAGCGCGGTGAGCACCATCAACGTGTACCACTGAATCTCGAGTACCACGGGGTGTCTGTAGAGAAACCCATAGATCCCAGTCGCGTTCGCGCACAACGGCGGATTGTGTACGTAGCCTTTCGACTCATTGTAGCAGTTATGAGCAAGGGCGATTATCACCCAGCTCGTAAGGATCAACACGTATATTAAGTAGAAGAGCAATCTGGCGGCATAGTACTTTCGGATCTTGTGCCACTTGAGATGGAGGAAAGACTGGCACAAAGGATGCTCCAGGATTTCCTTGTAGCCCTCCTTCACAAAGGTGTTCAGATAACCGATCTCGGGCGAGCGGTTTTGCCGATTCCGCCGCTGCAACAACGGACGAAAGTCCAGCTGCAACTCGAGCTCACCTGCGATGAATCCATGTCGGCTCAAAGTTAGAGACTTGTCCAGCCTATGCTCAAATACGTCCAGGGATGTCGGGGTCTTGCGCAGAACGATGGATAGAGCGCTATTCCCGCCGATGGTCCTGGCGCTGAGATCTGCTTCGTACTTTATCAGCAGATTGACGCATCGTGACAGCTCGTTTGAGGCGGCGATGTGTAGCGGCGTATAGCCGTATTTGTCGGCCTTGTTCACGTCCGCTCGCCACTTGAGCAAGAGCTCGGTTATGTCGTCGGTCACCAAAGACTTGCCTAAAGCCAGGTGCAGAGGCGTTCGACCCTCGTCGTCCTCCACGTTGGGATCCGCGCGACCTTTCAGTAAAATCTCCACGCACTCCAGAGAATGCGAACGAGCGGCTAAATGCAAGGCCGTGTGTCCTCGATGGTTCTTCAGTTGAAGATTAGCGTTTGCCTCGACCAGAAGAGCTAAATTGTCCGCGCAACCGGCTTCCGCAGCCAAGTGCAATGCGGTATCGTTCTTTCCGGTAGGTAAATCCACCTGGCAACCGGCTTTCAAAAGTATGTCTAAACAAGCTTTGTCTCCGCCATCGGCTGCATGATGAATAGCGGCGTATCCGTCTTGATCCAAACGGTCCAGTTCCTTGTTGTTCGGCGCTAGTAGGGAAAGTACGCGCAGAGCGTTAGTTCGTGAAGCCACGTGCAATACCGTCTCTTCAGCATCGTGCGGTGATAGCTGACTGATATCTCGTTGCACGAAGTATTGAGCAACGTCGAAGGCATCTCCAAATGCGGCATAATGAAACGCCGTGTGTTTCGATTTCGTATTGACGCTCGCGCCCTGTTTTATTAAATACTTGACACCATCCAGACAGTTCCGAAACGCACACAAGTGCAACGGAGTAAGACCATGATCGGGCTCGGTATAGTTGACATCGGCTTTGCATTTGCACAAACGATGTATGAGATTTGTACGACCCATAAAACTCGCTTGTAGCAATAAGATGTTGACTTCATTGGACTTGACGTCCGCGAGGATCGTCTCCGCATTTGTCTCATCCGTTTTACATGATTCCAAATTTTCCCAGATTTGTGATTTGTAACACGTACGTTTCCTGTGTTCCGCGAGAATATTTTTGATGAAATCTTCATTGATGCGCAGAGAAGTGCGGTCGACTTCGGAAGAGGCTCGTTCACTGATGACGGAGTAATCTTCCACTGAAGCTATGGGACTTATCAAATTATCGAGTGGTGGCGGCGATTCGTATTGAACTCGACCACTTTCGAGCTCATTGTCATCTTGCTTAGGCGATGAGCGTCTACTCTTTAGTCGAGTTAAAAACAAGGAAGCCGCGCTCGTGCGTGACAACAGAGTCGGAACTGTTTTTGATACTTTTCCTCCGGTTTCTTCCATCTCTTTCACTGACGAGAACGATACGAATTTCTTGCTCAGACTATCTACCATCTCCACCTGTTGCCGTTCTAAGATCAGTTACCTACAAACGTGATATACTTATTTAACATTATCCAAAAATCTTAATGTTTAATCGAAACATGTAAAAACAAAATAGAGAAATTGTATCTATTTTATTGTGTATCTATGTATCTTATGTATCTATTTTGTTACGTGAGAAGAAAGATTAAAAAAGGGTATTCTTTAAATTCTACAATTTATCATAGTAAATGAGAAAAATATAAGATAGTCTAAAATATAATACCAGAATTATATATATAAATATTCGGAATGCCAAATATTATTTCTATCAAAGTGAAAGCACATGATATTTAGTAGCTACGATCTTTCAAAACTAAATAAATCGAAAATAAAATAAAATAAAGGATTAAATTCGGTGTTTTCTAAAGTTTGTATGTTTTAATATAAAAGATTGAACAACATTGTTATAAATATATGCGTAATACGTGCTTATTAATGACTTCTTAATTTTTTAAAAGTTTAATAATACAGTGAAAGATAAAATGTGAATTTTGGAATATATGTTTCATTTTTTCTTTATTTCATTCAATGGCTGCATTCCGATATTCACTGTCAGTACTGCAAATCTATATTTTACGTCACGTATACCATAGATTTTCAGTACTGAAAGTTGCTGACAGTGAATATCGGAATGCAGCCAATATATAAAGAATTATGACTCATTGACAGTATATCTTACAAACACTTTAACATTGTAACATCGACATTTAACACAAAATACACAAAATATCGCGACTCTCGTAAAAGTTAATTGGAAAATCGGTTAAATACTTAACCAAGGCATAGTCTGTTATCTCATTGAATTGACGGTAATTACGTCCCACTTCTGAGAGACAAACAAAGAGATCTAGATTGATATCAAACAGATCACATATTGATGGAATAATATAAACAAACCGACTCGTTACAAAAATAAAATTTTAAAAACAGGAAAGTTACGGATCTAATGAGAAGTAGGTAGTAAAAAATCTTCTCTGCAATAATATTTCATTCGTTTACGCAATTAAAAATAAAAATAGATTTTAATGACGTGCTTGAATACTAAACAATTTTGAGAAATTTAAATGTTTCCATTATATCTATACCAAAAAAGAGAAACTGAATACATACAAATATAGAAACACACAAATTTATAGATAAAAGATTATAGATTATTTATAGATTATAAGATAAATCTAAATCTAAATTAAATGTGAAAATAAATGGAAATAAAATGAAAAAAATATAAACAAAAATTAAATACGAAAATAAATACAAATTTCAATTCAACAAAGGTAAACATGACTTTATAATGCCCTTTGTGTCAAATTTATATCAATAAGATCGAAAGCGAGTCACCATCTGTTGATATCTGAAATCTTGGATTTAGTTTAACGGCTCTTATTACAAATGTATTAGACTTAGACAGTATGCGCGTTTACGGGATCGGCATCACGGCAGAGATGGTTCTAGAGTGAAGAAGTACCTTACACGTTTACGGCACGAGACGAAGCTCGGTGGCGGACGTTGATAATCGTCTCGATCGCATCACCTCGTTCTTTCGCCAGACCGGTTCACACTGAGAGCGAGAGAGTGTGCAGCATGCGGCTAACTCCGTACCGGTTATATCAGCGAAAGAGATTTGGATGCTACATGTAGCGGATGAGACCGGTCGGCTATCAGAAATGCGCAGGAAAAAGTTGTCTTCCTTGAAGGACACTGTACATGTTTTTCGTGCTTCACATTCTTGGCAATACACATCACAAAAGATACCGCATAAAAATATATTTCTTCTTTCTCAGTGTGTCACATCAATCCCTCAAATACGCGACTTTTCTGATTCGAGATAAATAACGTTTTTTTAATGCAAATTAACTCTCACTTAGCACTAAATTGTACAAGTTCCTACTTCTTAGATTTCTTCAATAAGTACATTATTGCGTCTATAAGTGTTTAGACATCTGCATCTGCAGCGAAGAAAACACAGCGAAAAAATTCTATTACAATCAATGCAATTTAAGGACTAAAAAAATATTACATGACAATTTGCTTGGGTAAAAACCAGGAAAAAATTGCCACTGGAAAAGTTAAAATATTAATACAATTTTTTAAGTGGAAACAAAAAAAGAACAAAGTTTTAACCTCTGCTTCATGTTCTTGACAACAGAGAATAGTTGTCTTTATGAGACCAACTCTCAAAACATTTTAATCAAATCTGTCGTAAGTTCAATAAACTCAATTGACACAAGATACGATTAAATGATTTCTCTGACCTAAAATTAGTAATATATATGATATTGTAATAACTCGCATACGATTTTATTATTGGAAGACCGATATGTACTATAAAGAGCATTAATTTGATAACATAGTCTAATTATATAATTTAATACATAACATTGACACATATACAAATAAATAATTTTAATTAGTTTTTCTATTTATTTAGGAATTTTAATAGTAATTTTTACTAAATTCTTTTCTTAACTAGGTTTCTATCACTTTGATATGTTCTGTTAAAAAAAAATAAATAAAGTAATATAGATAGCAGTTGATTATTTTATCGTTTAACTAATTAACAAGCAAATATGAATACATTAATGCAAAATTCTCTATTTTTCACACATTTAAATAACTTTTACCGCACGATATAATTATATAATACATCGTTAAATAAAAATAATTTTAGATACTCACTCCTTCATAAATATTATCACAAAAATTCCTACAGCACTGTTATATGTATAACATTCATTCAACTTCTTTTTCCATTGCATGTTAAATTAAAATACAATGCATGCTATTCTATTTTAACACAACAAGTAATAAGAATTATCTCCAGCCAAATTATATCATGTATCGTAAACAGTTTCAGAAGATATCCATGACAACTTGTTGTCCATGACAATATTCTTTAATAAATTCAATGTGGACTTTTCTTACGAAGATTTGAGCAAAGAATAACTCACCTGTTCGCGATGATGAATCTCTTCAAAATATGTGATGTCGCGTCCATTAATGATAATCTTTCCAGAGCCATTACCCCAAATTGTCACTTCACCTCTTGCAGATTTCCTCATGCAATCTGAAATCATTAGCAACGAGTTTCATGATGTATATCATATATATCATATATCATATATCATATATATTTCTAACCATCTGTGAATGTTAAGATCATCAGTTTACTTACTTTTAACCGTGATATATGGCCTTCCTGTGCTGTCGTGTTCCAACTTTACATGTAACAATAAACTTTTATATTAACTGTAACAATACTTTTATCATCATTATTATATATGCACATGGATACTTACAGGTGGTATTGCCACCTCATTGGAATGGGTATTAAGCGTTTTACGATATTTTGTAATGAAATCTGTTGCTCGCCTTGACAATGGATGATCAGATAGCCGTTCTAGTGACGTAATAAGATAGTCGTACTAAAAGAATTGTTATACACTTGTGAATTAAATTATGCGTTATATTTTTTTAAAGATTACTCATTATTACTGACTAATTATTACTAATATATTATTTACCTCAAAATCATTAATACTTTCAAGTAGTTGGTTTTCAATCTCATGCTTTTGAAGCCATGTGGAACCTATCAGATTGCTAAAAATAATATATTTTTAAAAATGGTTATACTTGACATTTTTTTGCAGAATACTTCTAAAATTATATACTAAATTGTATACATGTTAACATGTACATGCTTGTTCTACGTAAATCAAATACTCAACATACACTTTGTCCACAGGTAACGTTCCTTGCCTTATTAACGAGTCTTCAACATCATTCAGAGATTTAATTTTATCCACAATATTCTGTGTACAAAAATAATTTTCTCAAATATTAATTGCTTTCCTTCATATATCTGTGACGTAATAACAATCATTATAGAAACTTACATATAGTGTCTCATAATAATTCGGTTTCGAAGTGTAAAACATAGAATGGAAGGGTCTTCCAGACTCATCAAATTCTGCTGCTTTCCTGCTTGGAAAGATTTTTTCTGGATGTTCCATCATCGGCCGAGCTTTAGGGTCAAATAGTCCTGATGGAAATAGATACTGGATTGATCTCTAAAAGTAATAATTACATGACTTTAGATATTAGCTCATCATTTATCAAATCGGCACAATTTTTTATATAATTACACACATCTATATCTGCTTGCGTAAAACATTCTGGATCTTCGCCCATCATGTTAGCCAAGTGTCTCTTCCCTATCTCGTACTCTACGATCTCTTTCTTCATAAATGCATCTAATAAATTTAAAAAATAATATATTTATAAAAAGTATTGCAAATTGCTGACATTGAAGTTATATTTATTTCAAAGTGAATGAATCTGTTACTACCATGTTCCTTTGCACGTTGTAAATACATCAACATAGCTTTGCTTATTTTTTTCTCCGGTTTCTTCGTACTAGACTTGATTATATCTTCAATTTCATCGATAGATGTTGCATACGATCGTGATTTAATATAATTCTGTAATCGTAAAATAATTAATATAGTAATTTTAAAAATATATAATTCATGCGTAATCGAAATAAGCAAAACCGCACTAAACAAATAGTTTAACGGCCTCGTTGTAGAGGAACTGCAATAAGCTTACCGAATGTCGCGCGGTATTCGAAAATAAAGCAACAGCGTTGTTGTTTATGCCCATCAAACGTCGAAAGTGTGAACAACGAATAAAGATAGATAATGCCATAATTGTAACTTGACAATCGGCACGAATCGTTTCTCAAACAATTTGAAGGAGATTAACCTCTTTCGAGCTAACCTATTGACCAGCGAGAACTACATTAAATTCAATTAGATCAAATTAAATTGGAATTAATGTTAATTCTTGCGATTTAGAGAAGTTTCGAAACTCATGAAAAAAAAGGAAATATTGCAACTTTTTGACGTTGATATGTAATTATGTTTATAAACACAACACACGGAAATGTATGATTGCACGACACGTGAAGTCGCACCTCGCACTACCTGCGAGAGTACTCGAGAGTCGAGACCTCGATTCGAGGACTCGAGACTTTCGAGAACCTCGAGACATGCCGGGCGTGCGCATTGCGTGTGTGTATCGCGCTATTGCATAAATGCCATAAATTAATCATGGGGCCATGGCTTGTTAGAGCGATTTTGACGAACTCTGATTAACTTAATCGAGATCAAGTTAATCAAAATTTAATCGAGATACCGAGTAAAGTTCGTAGTCCATACCATTTTGTTAACATGGAACAGAATTATTAATTTTTTGTTGTCTGACACATAAAAAAAGAAATTAGGAACAATAAATACAGTCGAGAGATTCTTGGAACCGTGATTTTGAAAATTTTAGATTATGATTATGATTATTCTTTTTTTTATCACAAGTTATTAGGAAAGGCACGAATATTCAGATATCGTGCGCTTTTTTTCTAATTTTGTTTAGAAAAGTAAGAGAATTTATGACGCTAAATGTAAGTACATTAATGAGCAATAAACAAATACAATAAAAGTATATCTTACTGAAATATTGACGTCTTTTATTCGTACTATTTTTCTCAATCGTCTGCAAATCAATCCGACTATCTGTCAAACTAGTCGGTATATTGGTCGATATTAGCATGAGAGAGAGAAAGTTTACATACATTGCATAGTTTTGGTTTTGGAAGTATATAAAGTAATAAACACCAACAATCAGGCACCATCAACAAGTTACCAATAATCAGTACTCGTTAACGTCAACAAGATTAAGTTATTTATCACATAAGTAAAAAATAGATATGGATGAAATATTAAAAAGCTATCATACTCTTGGTAATAGCTTCTATGTGACGTATATAGAAGCTATTCGTACGATCATATCATACAGGTATTTTGCGCACGAATTTACATTAGAAGTCACAATAACAGCAGTATTTCCAGCCTCTGTTTAATAATACAACATCTGTCAATGTATCGCTCGTTTTCTCACTGTAACCATATTAAAATCATATAAATTCTCTTTTTTTTTTCATGAAACATCCCTCTTTTTATTAACCTATATTAACAAAAACATATATATATATATATATATATATATATATATATATATCTTACGTTTCTAGCAATAATAGATCTTAAGATAATTGACCAAGATTTACACCTGATTATCTAATATATATCTAATACTATCTAAACTGAAAAGACAGAGTCAATATAGTTTATCAATATGTCAAATTATATGTGTGGCGAAAAATTCGATTTATTTGTACGTACAGTACGCAAGACAAAAAAATCACACGATTTCAATATGGTTGCAATGAGCTAACAGAAGTCAAGCAGTCTTAAATTATTAATTTTAGCAAATATCAGGAATGCATGATATAGTGTATAACATACATTTACTCTTAAATGTTGCGTTCCATTGTTAGCAAATAAAAATATATCTTCGAAGATCTATTTAAACCTAGAAATTCTAAAATATCATTATTATTAAACTTGCTAGCTACTGAAAATCATTCAACATTCCTGATAAAATTTAACATCCCTGCAGGCCATCGCAATATAGCTTTCTTAACATAACTTTCTTCTTGTATCACAAAAAGAAAACGAAAGTACGTATGAGCAAGTTACGTGGATATATATATACATATAATATATACACATAATTATCTAAAAAAATAAGAAAGTCTTAGACGATGCAACATGCTTGGAAAATGCATGTTAAATTAGTAAAGTACTTTATACGCTAAGCTTTGTCTTTGGAGATTTCTTAATGAATAAATTACATTATTTCTCTGTGATAGCAAAGTTAACTGGCATGTAATATTGATCAATTGTATCATAAATTATATCAATCTCTTTCGGTATCGTAATAATCCTATCGCAAAAATAAATATATTTAGAATTAAATATTCCATCTTTTTCAATATTATTTCAACATATAAACAGATTTGTCAAACAAACAGTCAACATTCTGAAAAGACAAATATGCAACATAGGTTCACTTTGATTTCTTGGAAACTTATGTATCTTACGTATCTTACATATTTCCAGACATAAGAATCCGTTACAAAGAAATATCATTCTCTCATCTCTTTTTTCCTTTTTGTGTAGGTCTATATATTTTTGTGTTGCATGTAATTGGGATTAAAAAAACAATCAAGTATCCCTTACATCGCATATTTATCTTAAAAGTACAAAGTAGCAATATAGCAATTAGAAAAGATAAATTATGTACCGGTTTGATGTTAGTATTCCTTTTTTTTTGTGCTGCTTAAATTGCCGTTTATGTTGCGCTGCGTTTTTCGGAAAGAAATCCGAGAACGTACGCAATGCCAGATGTTCTTTCCCGTGCCTGCTAAATTGCAAACTATCAAGGACGGCGATTCGTATTCATTAGGAACAATACCATCAACGGACGACTCAAAAAAGCTAAATAATGGAAACCAGATTCTAGTTCTGATCGAATCGCGCTGCATCAGTGCTTGATTGTTCGCCAGCGTGTGATAGTAAAGAAATAATCGCGAAGTTATATAAAATGCGACGAAAACGTCGATGGAATAATGCTCATGTGCCGCCAAGATGAAAAATATACCGAACATATTAAGCATCCACGTAAAAGTATGCAGAAAATACAAATCTCTCGGGGTATCTGCAATGAAGAAAAGAGCATTCTATAAATATCTAAAAATCGGCCGCTTCAATATCACACTAATGTACATACATTATTACTTACATTCTGTAATGAAAAAGTTAAGCATAGTTAACGCCACTGTATGCCCGCTAAACATGTAATCCCCGCAGGTTCTGACACCTTGAATAGACATGCCGGCACCTCGCCAAATAACATAAGCCATTGCTATTTTATTGTACAGTTCGACATACGCAGCACTAAAATAAGATATAAATATATATTACTTGGGTGTGTGTGTGTGTGTGTGTGTGGGGGTGTGTGCGTGTGTGTTTAGAAAAAGAATAATGACATATTTTATAACGTAATATATATGTATCTCTCTCACTTTGACCAATCTTCATCTGGGACTTTCCGTGGTTGGCATTGCAGATGTGCACCTGGCACTGACAACGAAGTAATGAGCATCGTCACGCATCTCAGCAGGAAGACTGTACCCGACAGTGCAAAAAACCTCCGTAACAAAATAAATCTGTTCCATATTTAATAGGATTATTCGCTCTGACGAATCACGTCTTTTGCCATATTTATTTAAAAAGGGGCCTCGTTTCTTACCTATACTTGTGAAATATAAGCACAACGAGCCATATCGCAAAAAGCAGGGTACCGGTAACTTCGCACATATCAAACGCCCAAGGAATATGAGGTACATTGTCTAAAAATATGTCTGGCAATGGAGGATACTTCTTCATATCAGGCACTCTGTCGTGAACGATAACCATCACAAAGGCAGTAATCCACGTGACGATAAATAAATATCCCAAACTGATGAACGTTTTCCAGATTTCGGGTGGCAAGTAAGAGGCGTGTCCGTCCTCCGATACCGAAGCTGAATAAAATTCGTTCTCGATAGACGTTTCATTATTTGTACCGGTGCTGGGCATCTAAAGTAAAATTACACGAGTTAAATGTAGCGATATATATTATCTTTGTCGCTGACTTGAACATTTCCTTAGGAATGCTAGGGACATGCTTTTACCTCGTGCTTATTCTGATGAGTATAAAAATTCGGCGAAGGAAACAGATCCATGTATCCCAGGTCGAACAGAACGGTGACATTGTCCCTCTGCAGTTGCTTTATGGCTAGATACAATTTCTTTATCGCGCCAATCTTCTTTATGTTTAAAATACTAGATTTCAGGTCTTCCTCCTTCAGCGTCAGAAGTACCTTACCGTCGATCTCGTGAAAATAAAATAAGTCCGCGTACTCCTCGTGGCCGTTTTCCACAAGCCACGCTTTCACGTCGGAGGACGTCCACTCGATGACGTTTCTTAGGGACATGGTTGCGACGGTTGCGTCGTCGCGTGGCATCTATCCTGCATAACAGACGAGTCAACGTCAACGCGCGTACCGTTAGAAACGAGAAAGGACGTACCCCGCAAGTGGGTGACCCTGTGACACGGCGATCGCTTCTCCAATCGCGAAGTCGCATTGACATTTCACACGTGGTTCCTTGACGGCGCGAAGATAACGAGTAAACGAGTACACGACCGAGGGAACGATCCGATCGAGAAAAGAACCGCCGTGTCGCAAAGCAAGCCGGCCAAAGGTGGCGAAGGTGAAGTCCGCGAGCGAGAGCAAGGGTGCGGGGTGCGGACTTAACCTAGGCCGACGCGCGCGAGCGTGCTGGAGGCTGCAAGAGCGTGCGATCGCTCACCTGAGGAAGGACCGCGGCCGTCGCGGCGTACCGTGGGATCGTCGTCGATATCTTATCGGGACATTTTCGCGCGTCCGACGTGCGTGTCACCGCGCCGCGACTATCCTCGTCCGAGAGAATCATGCGTCGGCAGTAGGATCCGTCCACGGCGTCAACTCGCGCTCAACCCCTCAACGGCCTCGACCGTCAACGGAGCCGATGACGATGACGGTCAATCGTGGAGGTTGATATCCGCTGATCGCACCGACACGCTCGTGGCTCGACCGCTCGACTGTGCGCGCGCGACGCGACAGCGAACTGAGCGCACAGCTGTCACCGTCACGTCACGCACGTCACGTCGTGGTTAAATAGCCGCGCGAAAGAAAGAATATCGGAGCGCGATTTCGCGAACGCTCGATAAAGGAGGACGAGCAGCTGCTTGTTATTGCCGCCACGTAAGATCGATGATAACAACGTTCTCGAATGACACGTTTCATCGAAGCGTACGATGATTCATTTTTCGCGATAACAAAAGCATTATTCCTCCACTGTGCGTGCTAATTCCTAAAGAACGCGAACAATGTTGTTTGTAACTTTTGCTTCCGGCGGTTTATTTGTAAATTGTTTACGCTATATTATGAATGTAACGCTAACTTCAAAACAGAGAGAGAGAGAGAAAGGGGAAATTTTCGAGGATCAATTCTTGAAGATGGGAAAAGACAAATAATTGCTCCGTTACAATTGACACGTCTCTAACTTGTTTTTTTCTTTCGACTATTTGAATGTATTCGACTGTTAGTCACAAAAACCTTGTAATTTTAACCTGGAAATCAAGCTCTCATTTTTTTACAACTTACGAAGTTGCAGATCGAGATATACTTATATAAAAGATCTCGCGATAGTATACCACAGAGATAATAGGCTCGGAGTGTCATCGACTCGGCCATCGATCAAACTCCGATTAATTTAATCAGTGATCGATTCAATTGACGGAATTGCTAAAAGCAACATTTCGAATAATTTGAATTATATAATTCATCCTCTCTCTTCTCTAATATATAATCTCTCTTTTTGTGTCAAATAAGAAATTAAGAGTTGTAGGTATATATTATTTGACAAATTATAAATAATTATATCCATTAACGGGTTATAATCGGAGTTTGATCGCTTTCAGAGAGGAGTGCTGTACTTGCGGACGGGCAAGTCTTCTTGAAACAACCGGATGGGAATTTATTGCTCGATTAGGACCCTGCAGCTTCTGCCAGTTCTGCCCCTCCTGCTGCCCCCGTTTCTCGCTCCAAATTGGGCCGAATTTCACGGCGTGCGACGAGGCGGGGCCGGTTGTTTCCCGGTTTCTTATCTTTTTTGCGCACCACGCACTATATCGTGTTTTGTTCACGGGGTTAAAAAACCGTATGAAAAAAAAAAACCGTTATTTGGCGGCAGCAAAATACACGGAGCCTCCTCGGCGCACTCGACCTGCGGTCTGCGGCGCGCCTTTTCTCTCGCGTTGCACTTTATTCCTCTTACCGCTTTTCTCGCCGCAAAGTCCAAAAAGATACGTTATCGGTTTTATTTTCAACACTCAAAGAATGAAAAACGGTTACGTCAGAGTATTCACGAGTACACACGTGGACTCGCAAACTTATCCGAATTTCTGAAAAGTTTTATTCGATTTCTCCTCTTTCTCGTGTCTTTTCCATTTTAAATCACGGGGAAAACGTATAAGAAAGTTCGAAAGATACTGTTCCGTTTAAACTTCAGTACTGCACTCTGTGCTAAGACGAAATGCGAAAGGGGAATACAAGTGTAATTACAAAACGAGAAAATTGAATGAATCTCGAATCTCATTCGTTTCTTATCGACCATTCGTAGGTCACTGTGGTCTCCTTTTTTTTTCTCGACGCGCGTGATGATGTTTGCGCGCGCGTAACTTGATTTCTCGCGCTGACTCTTCCCGCGGACGGCGAAGTCGACGTCATTGATGATCGTCGTCGTCGTCGGCAGTCGTCGCGAGTCGTCGCGAGTCGTCGCCACTCGCCATCGCCAGTCGTCGCGCGTACGTACATACAGTCGTACATACATACGTCGGCGTGCGTCGGAGTCGATAGTGCGCGAAGAAGCGGAGCGAAGCGGACTAGCGGAGCGGACTCACATCAGCGGAGCGGACCCGGCTTGAGAAGCACCGGCCACGGCCACGGCGCGCGCGGTGCTTGCCGAGCGGCGAGTGCTGAGTTGGCAGTCTTGACAGGGCAGTCCCGCTCCCGCTGTCCCGCTGGCGCTAACTGTTGTTGATTTGCATGTCGTACGGCGCCGTCCGTGTCCGTGAATCCGCAGCCCGCGCGAGCCCGGATAATGTTACGAATGAATGTACTTATACGGTCTACTTAAAACAACGCCGCAGTACTTAATGAGCGATGAGTGGACAGAAGTTCCAGTATGACGAGAGCGGAGGGACATTCTTTTACTTTCTGCTCTCGTTCTTGGCACTACTGCTGGTACCCGGGACTTACTACCTCTGGCCACGTTGCCCGAAGCAAGGTTAGAGACTTGAGTGAGACAGACAGACAGAGAGAGGGAGGGAGAAAGATCAAGGCAAACTCCATTTTTTAGACCAAGTAATTTACACGTTACCCGCGATAACGCACGGCCGATGTAACTGGTAACGACGTATACGTTCCACGTACATGACGGACGATTACCGTTTCCTGTACTCTCGATTTACGTTCTGCTCCACTTTGGTCCTTTACCCATTCCTATTCTTTCACGGAAACCCAGCGTCAAACTCGCCCAATCTGCGAGGATAAAAATGTCCGAATAAATTATCTAATTATTTAATTGTTCAATCTTATAAACTATGTGTATTTAGAAAATTAAGTAATTTCAAGTCGTATGTAGATATGATATGTTATGATCCTGACTTCTTTAGACCACAAAAGTTTAAGGCAATATGTCCTATGTTTCGTGTCAAAATTTATGTGAAAGTCTTGTAACATATTATTTGAACAATGAATAGACCAAAATTATGTGTACATACCTTTTGATTAACACTATTGTTCGAGTTTTAGCGTTTCACGTAATGACATTTGTCCATAAGTATCGTGACAAAATATCTTTATTTTTAACCAGTTTTTCAAACTTTGTGCTTTAATTTAAAGATGTGTAGATTATAGGAATAATATCAATTTAAATTCTATTCAGATCCTGATCAGTTAGCCAAAGAATGCCAATGTGATGGGTGCAAAAAGAAAAAGGTTATTCTTCAAGCGAACAAACCTTGGAAGGAAACCAAGGCTTTATTTACGTAAGTTTTCATATATTATTTTTATATGTTATATAACATTTTATTATATAAGTGCAAAATAATATAAATTACATTTATACAATTGTAAAAATTATTATTGAAAAATTCATTGCCCTTTTATATTATATTTATATGTAATTAATATAAATGTTATTATATATTACAGGAAATTTCTAATCATTCTGGGATGGGCTATCTTGATACTTTTAGCCTATAAGGTGTCCCAATTTGATTACGAAATGGCCAACTTTGATCCGTATGAAATATTAAGTATACCGCCTGTGAGTATAAAATATAATTTTTATACGTACCGTTAGTTTTGTTGCGTGACAAAAATTAATACCCAAGTTCCAATTGTAGGGTTCTTCCCAAGGTGAGATTAAGAAAGCTTATCGCAAGCTTTCCTTAATTCTTCATCCTGATAAAGAAACTGGAAATGAGAAAGCTTTTATGAAATTAACTAAAGGTAAGGAATAACGAACATAGTGTCTGCACAGATCTTAGATACGGTGTAAATATTGAGTATATGTTGCGTGCTATTAAATATATTTAATAAATTTTTAACACATTTATCGCACATGATAATAATACAGCATAGGAAAGGTCGATAAAAATCGTTAGAGTATCCAAACTGGAAATTAATCCTATAACAGTTAAAAATTAGATATTTGATATTAATTTTTCAAAATTATTTCAAGATCAAATTGCTACTACTAATATTTTAAATCTTGATATAAACTAACAGTTGTTTTTTTCTATTAACAAAAATAGCTTACCAAGCTTTAACGGACGACGAAGCACGAAAAAACTGGGAAAAATATGGAAATCCGGATGGTCCAGGGGCAATGAGTTTTGGTATAGCTTTGCCTTCCTGGATCGTTGAAAAAGAGAATTCAGTATGGGTCTTAGGACTATACGCATTAGTGTTCATGGTTGCTTTACCGACGGTTGTAGGAATGTGGTGGTACAAGAGTATTCGCTACACTGGTGATCAAGTAATTGGCATTTTTATGCCACATTTTTATTTGTGACAAATTTTCAGTTGTTATATATATTTAAATTTATCTTTAGGTTCTCCTCACAACGACCGAAATGTATTACTTTTTCTTCGTGAAAACGCCGTCTATGTCATTGAAGAGAGTCATTATGATACTCGCTGCTTCCTTTGAATTCTTCAAGAAACGTAACGCCGAAATAGTCGAGAGACATTCTGACAGCGAAGAAGTTCCTTCGGTATACATTTAATTATATTTCTTTATCTTTCTTAGAGATGAATAATGATTTTACTATATATATATATTTTTTTTTATATATATATTCAGCTCATCAAACAACTACCTAACTTAGGAGAAAAAAACAAAGAAGTACCATTATGCCACTTGTATTCAATTAAAGCTAGAGCACTACTGCATGCGCATTTATCTCGCATACCATTAAATCCTGAGACATTGGATAAAGACAGACAGTATATCGTAAAGAAATGTCCATATTTGATTCAAGAAATGGTTGCTTGTGTCCATCAAGTTATACTTTTAGCTTATGCCAGAAGAGGTAAGCATTTTTTTTCAATATAGCTTCATGGTATATATATACATGAAATAAACAATCAATGGGCTTTTTTTTTTTTTAGTACCGCGAGTACCAACCATAACGACTATAGAGAACTGTATGAAACTGTGTCCAATGATCGTCCAAGGATTCTGGGAGTTTAAAAACCCTCTCCTTCAATTACCACACATAACGGAGGACAATTTAAAATACTTCCACGCAAAGAAGGTATTAATGACAGCGAATTCTACCCGTTGCGATAATGTTTTTATCATTATCTATGAAAATCACTTAACAATGTGACTTTTCTTTAGCGTCAAATCAAAAGTCTTCAACAATTTGCACAATTGAAAGGAGAAGAACGAAGACTGATACTTAGAAATCTGTCCGACAATCAGTACGAAGATGTTATGAAGGTTCTTGGAAATATGCCATACATTGACTTTAAAGTACGATCCGAAGGTAATTGATATATTAGTTATTTTCTTGTACTTCTGTAAAACGTTTGGTATTAACTAGAACAACGTAATTTATGTGGTATTATATTCTTTATAACTTACTTAATGTATTTTAATCTATTTCAGTAATCGATGATGAGAATCCTACCGTCTACACTGCTGGTGCTATTGTAACGGTAACGGTATCGCTTACGCGAAAAGACATGAAGCATCTCTTTGGAAATGATTCTGTCAATGAACGAACGATAATTGACGATAGCAAAGGCGGTGAAGCAGTTGAAGAAGCCTCAGAGGAACAAAATCAATCGACAAAAACTGCAAAGCCAGCATGGCTTAAACAAAAGAAAGGCCAAAAGAAGTCGCATAAAAAGGGTACCAATAAAAAGTTGGCTCCTACTAAAAATACACAGGCACAGTCTCAAGCTGTGGCTAACAATACTCAGCACAGCAATACTCCTAATGCGAGAAAGAAGGATGATAAGACGGAGAAAGAGTCTTCCAAGGAGAAATTGTCGGATGTTAGTGACAGTGAAGCCGAAAGCGATCGAAGTGACGACGAAGATAGTCACGACAAAAAGGACGCGTCTCATGATGACGACGATACTGAATGGGAAAAGTAAGAGGAATGTTTATACTTATTTTTTATGTCATATATTAAATCGTTATTTATATATTTCACTCATAGCTGAATTTAACATTCCATTTTCTTTTAAACAGATTCCAACAGAGAATCTCCAAGCGGGAGAGAGTGTTGGAGGGAAGGAGTAATTTGTCACATGAAGTGCATTGTCCACTCTTTCCTGATGTTAAGCAAGAGTATTGGTGGGTCTATATCTGTGATCGCAAAAGTCAAACGCTGTTAACAACCCCTATACACGTCACATCCTTAGCACAATTTGAGGAGATTCAATTAAGATTTACGGCACCACGCTGGCCAGGCCTTTATACATTTACCGTGTGTCTACGTAGCGATTCGTTCTTGGGCTTTGATCAAGCTCAAGACATTAAAGTGAGTTATTTAACAATTCAAGTAACCCAGCAAAAAATCTCATTTCTTATTATTTATATTTGTAACGATGCGACGATGCTTTATAGTTGGACGTGAAGGAGGCACCAGAAATACCGACCGAACATCCGCAATGGGACATTTCGGATGAAGAAACTGCGGAAGATGTGGATGCAGCTGATGAACATTCCGAATTCACAACCGACGAGGACATTAGTGACAATGAATAATAGCTATTTCTCACATGTGATCGGAATAGATATTCTAAAAGTCCGCATTTTCCTCTTTTTTTACTTCTCAAGTTAATGTACAATGGACTTTTATACGTGGAATTGCATAATCGTTGATGTATGTGGACAATCTAGAAAAATAGTCTGGTGTGTAAGATTTGTCAGTGTGGAGAAAGTAATAGTGAATAAAGAGCATAATATTTATTTTAACATCGTTGTTCAATCCTCAATTTGGATGTGTTCAATCCTTAATTGAGATCTGTATACAGTTTTCTAATAAAATATATGAGTATAAAAAAATATTGTATCTATCCATATTAAAATACATCTCTTGTTAGAATCGTTGACCGAACGTGTTCTTCAACGACTATAACAGTATACAAAAGTAACAGGTATCATAAAATCTGGGTTAAGCGAAAGTAGTAAAAGATATTTAAGCTACACACATACACATATAAAGCACACAAAAGATCATTCAACCGTTGCACTTTTTATCATAGACACTATAAATTTAAAGTATTCGCCGATCCATCACAAAGACAGTCTGAATGAATATCGACAACTAGATAGATATCTGACATATGGTAACAATGAGAACGATGAGTGTAATATTTCGTGCAATGCAAGTGAGTACATTTCATTTTTTTTTTTTTTTTTTATACAATAGATATCCATCGTCTACATTAGATATCACAACTGTATTTCAGATACTTAAAATCTATTTTATACTCTACCTTTCCCTAAGTATTATGGTTGTTGCGCTTGAAAGGGGTAAGTTATTGTCTAAGAAAAAATATATCAACGTCAAATAACAATAAAATTATTTCGCACGTATAAGCTATTCACATCTGTATTCACATTGTGTATTAAGCTAAATAAGAATATTTATATTTATTTATTTTATTTATTTTATTTTTCTAAAATATTTATAAAAATTAATTTTTATATATCTAGTATATATTGCGCGTGTGTGTAAAATGATTGCAAGGTCAGTCTCTTTTTATAAAAATTACAGTTATAAAAGTACTTTATATTTTAACAAATTTTTCTAAACAGGTCAGAACGATAGATATCAAGCAGTAAAATTGGAGCAACTGTTGAACAAGCCTGTCTATACGTTTGTTAAGACTGATAAACATGCCAATATTAAATGGGGTGTACGGCATTACGTTCCACGTACATTAAGATAAACAGACTTCAAGAATTGAATATATGACGGATTAATACAGATGTGAGCGCTATCTTTAATCACGGGTCCAATTTAACCACTTCAAGATATTTTTTTTGTATTTGAGTCATCAAATTGTCCAACCTAAGAAGAGAAATGGGATATAAGATAAATCTGTATTAAAATTGAACAATATCATAAGAAAAGGAGACATCATACTTACATGTAACGTGTGATCAAATTATCATATATCACATTATCCTCTGATTGAATAACACTATCTAATTCAGTGGTAGAGATATTTAAAGATTGATAGTTGTTAGACTGCTGAGAGGCACTATTAGTGTCCGATTGTGTGATTCTTTGATATTCTTCCCAATATAATTTCGTCATGGCAGTGACAGAAATAAATACTTTTTCTAGTTTTGACAGTTCATCTTGCAATTTATCTATTAGCCTGTTGAAAATACAGTACTATATATATATATATATATATACAGATATGAAATGTATAATTTATGATAAATAAACTTTTCATACCTTGTAATATCAATGATATTTTTATTACGAAGTTGCGTTTCACGCGCAGTCACAAATGAAAACACTAATTTCGACATGTCCAATGGCTTTGCTGTTTTATGTAGACTTTTTATCTTGAATTTTAGATATATATCACATATCTTATCATACCTATAAAGATAATATAAGAGAGAATATTAAAATATAAAACATTTTATATAACAATCATCTGTAACATTTATACTTACAACTCTGATAAATTCCCCATATAATCAATAGCTTGAGCTCGATCTCTCAATCTATTATTATCTTCCTTCAGAGACATAAACTTCATCTTTATCTGATCTGCTGCACTAACCAATTTATTAACTTTGTCAAAATAAATTTGCACTTTTCTTTTATCAGTTGTGTCTTCATCCGTCACGTTCATATATTTCATACGAATCGTATGTACTTGTTCTATAAGAATCTTTATATTTTCCAATGTCTTCTCCATGTTCGTATTAAACATATCGATTTTTTGATGTAATAAGTCTCTGAAATATGCAAAAATATTATCTATACCAATACTTAACAGAAGGTACAATTTTACAATTTTATAGCAATATTATATAAAAAACTTACACATTTATACTAAGCGCAAAAATGTACAATTGAAATAAATCCTTTTCTTTTTTCGTAAAATATATTGTATGGCGATAATAATCTTTCAGTATTTCATAATTCAACTCATTTTTTGATTGTGTCATCATTTTCTCCACTGCTGTAGGAATACTTAATGTAGGTATATCTTCTATCAAACATCCATTTTTGAAGAGAAAGAAAACATGATCCTACAAGCAAAATTGTAATAAATTTAAAAATAGCATTTTACTTTATGGTATCTTACAAGTTGATAATACATACATTAATTTGTGACGCAAGTGATGCAGTACTTTCAGTCAGTATTGCACCTTTGTAGTCAGTTAACACTTGATGCTTAATTTCAATATTAGTATCTCTTTCTATTAACAACTGAAGATCTCTGAGAGTAATACTGCTATCAATTTCATATGTATTAATTTTGTAAAATGGCGTACAGAAGACATATAGTATCTATATATAAAAAATACAAATTAAACAAGAAAAACAGAAAAGGAATAAAATATACTATGATTATTATACATACTTTGTTTGATAATGCACGTTGCAACATTGTAAATACTGCTAAATGAGACATACCAAATTCGTCGAGCATTTTACCTCTTTTATGTGGATCCCATTGTAAAACTAGCCTGAACCATTGGACTATTTTGTTTCGAAGACAACTGAGAAACGAGAAAAAATATTATATACCCTGCTAAATATGTATATAATCAAATAAAAGATATACATAAACTTTATTCTTGCTTTCTATAAAAGAAAGTACTTTAATATTTAATATTGCACACATATTGTGATTATAGAAAAAGAAAATGAGATTCTTACTCCGATAAATGAGTTGGATTTTGAATATCTTTCCCAAAAATGACTCTCCCTTCTGACTCATAAGCGTGAATATCATCATAACTCTTATTCTTAATGTATTTCATCCTATAAAATGACATTAAGTTTAAAGCTTGACATTTGTATCATTTTTTTTTTTATAAATATACTCCATTATATTCTTCACTTTTTACCATTCCATAGTATGTTGCATTGTTGGTAAAAATGGTCTTGTTCCAGTTACAAGTTCATAAAACAATATTCCTAAGCTCCAGTAATCGACAGAGCAACTATATTTTTCTCCCCAAAGAAGTTCTGGAGCAACGTAATTTAGTGTGCCAACTAAAGAAGCAGATGTACTTGCTTCCCCAAGTTCTTTGGCATATCCGAGATCTATTAATTTATATGAGATCTGTAATACATGTATACATAAAAGTTTAATTGAATCAACGCACACAAGTCAGTAATATAAATTACTTCAATATAAATCATTTTCTCATTTATATCTTACCACATTCTGTTCATCTTGTAAAATTATGTTCTCTGGCTTTAAATCTCGATGAGTTATGTTATGGAAATGTAAATATTCCACAGCTGATGAGATCTCACTCATTACTTTGATTGCTTCTGTTTCACTAATTCCACAACAATTTTCTGGTTGATTAAAAATCTATAAAAGAAAGAAATACTGTTATTTTACATTACCCCAGAAGAACAATTTATATATAGATCAACTTAAACAAAATACAACTTTTCTCAAATCTCCTTTTCTGCAATATTCCATACAGAGAATCGGCAGATTTTCTTCGACATTTGGAAGCTTAAATGGAATGCATCCTGTTCTTACGATGTTTGGATGCTTCAAGCGTTTCATTATATCAACTTCGTTGGCCCATCTCTTTCGTTGTATTGGCGTTAACTGTGAATAATTCCATTTGCATTTTTTTATTGCTGAAATCATAATCAACAATTTTATTTTATATCTATATATATATTCATTATACAGTATTATAAGTTTGTCTGTATGCATGATTCTTCTCAGAGAATTCTTCAAAATAAGATGTGTTCTTTTTACATTGATATTTTAATTATACTGAAATATTACCAATCTTTTTGCCACTTGGAACGTGTATCCAGAGCTCAACAGTTCCGAAGCCCCCAGTACCCAGAACACGATTTAGCTTCCAACCGTCAGTTGACGTCATCTCGAGTGTAAGATAAATTTCGTTTCAGCTATGTATGTACGTATAGCTATGTATGTAGATCGAGGGCTGAATAATTCTCAGTAGACGTGACACTATGCTGATAAGGTAAATAAAAGTTTTATGTTATTTTTCATTGAAAAAAGCATACATTGCAAGTTAAATACACCGGATTCAACAATTGGAAGTTCTTACCGGAAATGCATTAGCGCAGCACGAAGAGAGATTATTTCGTGACACACACACGTAACAATGTTATCAAAACCTGCTATTAACCTGCATATCGCTCTTCGCTGACTTCACACTTCAACGTTCTTTGAAGTTAGCAAACATTAGACCAACAGCTCAATCTCATTCGTCGTGAAGTCGGTGAAGTGAAACGTTTACCGATTGGTTACTAATGGTTACTAATGCGCACGTGACTACCTACATAAAATTTTGTCACATGTGAAGTCCATTTTTTTTCTCACCCTAGTCCTAGTGATACAAAAAGAATTAATGATCGACAATTTAATAAACTTGGCAACTGTAATCTCTCGTTTAATTGATAGGAAACATGTATTTTAACCTTTGAAAGAAGTAGATATATGTACCCTTCTCCGTCTTTCTCTAACGACACATGACACTTGATGTGACCTGATGACACTCTGACACCCTCGATGTTTACGTGACAGAGACTTGACAGCTGACAGCTTCTCTGACAGCGTCTGCTAGGATTTTTCTTACTGCGCATGCGCGAGATTGTCCCTCCATCTTGCATCGCAGCGCTGAAACACCTGAATGTAGCTTGAAAATTGGCTTGAATGCTTGAGTGCCGTCGTCGCCCGTCAACAAACATGGCCGAGATCCTTAAAAGCGGCACGGTTCGGAGAAGCGAGTGTCTGATTGCTTTTATGGTGCGTCTGTGACGGTAAAAAGAAGAAAAGAAAGTTTTTACTGTGCGCACTCCTGCATATCTTGCATATTTTCGAGAAAAAGAGTGAAAGTCCGTCGCTCTTGGCACGCTACGCGAGATTTGTTTGCGAATGTTCGGCTTTAGTTTTGCCGGTACTTATTTCATTATACAGGCGTCAATTTTCTTATTTTCTTCTACTTGAAAGAACAGCGATTTGTAATATAAAATGGTTCTACATGGATTTCCACGTGAAGCGAAATTCATCTCACCGCGCCTAGTGCTCGCAGGACGAAACGGAGGCTTATCATTCCACATGAGTTTCAAGCTTTTTGCATGAACTGTAATTGTACAATCATTGTTTCACCCCTGCACTGGGTGATGGGGAATGGACTTTGCTTCGCGTGGAAAGTTGGAAACTTATGTGAAATCATACAATAATAGACCTCGTTCCACCACGTTCCACCCTGCAAGCACCAGGTGGTGTAGGATGGACCTTGCTTTATGTGGAAAGTAGGAAACCTATAGGCCATATGGAACCATTTTAATGTAATAAATTGTATACAAAAATGAAACTTGAACCATGACTTCAACAATTACATATGTCAAGGCCATTGAAGCTGGGTTCAATTAGAAGTGGCGTCCGTATAATGAGACAAACACATGGACTACGTTTAGGCGGCCTGATTTATGCCAAAATTATAACTTTGGCGTAAATTGGATCGTGTAAACATAGTCATTGCTTCAGTTTTCTGGTGTCAGGATATAACGTGATGTATATATTTGATAAATGTATTTAATCAAAATATCTATACTAAGTGAATTTTAATTTATTTGGCCAGAGTTATTTTGAGAGTATAAGTGGCATTTGTTCCTATTACATTAACAAATAAATTAACATTTTATCTTTTTTATCACACGGTCCATCAGTCTGAAAATTATTGTAATTTCTGATTGGAATATATCCTTCAAATTACTATAGCTTTTTTTTATTATGAAAATTATAGGATTTAAGGAAGTAGGGAATATTAATATATTTAATACAGTGTTTTTAGTAAATTTTATAATTAGAAATAAAAGTGACTTTGTGCAAAAATAAGTGAAAAATATGCAGACGAAAAATATTATCTTCTTGCAGTTTATGTCACAGTTTATTGAACATTTTGTATATTAGCACAATACATTTAATATGTAATTCTCGCAGTAAATATATTTATTATATAGAACATTTTTCCAGATAGTAGGATCAGCTGAATTATGCCAGAAAATATCAGAGGGCTTACATCAAAGTGCGAGAGAAAGGAAGTGGCATATATCTGTACATCAGTGTGAATCTGTTAACGACGTTATAAAAGCGAGGATAGATATCTCTGTGGATTTTATCATTTTTGCTTTTGACTTAAGAGCTTCGCACACTTTGTCAGAAGTAAGTTTCTTTTGTACAAATAATTTTTAACGTAATTTTATTATATTAAATAGTTTTTTATCTTTAGTTATTTATTATTAATTAATGATTATATATTGAAAGAAATCTATGTTTATTATTGTTAATAATTTTTAAGATAGAAGCTAACATAGCCACGATAGATGAATACTATATAGTCTCTGGTGCAGCCTGCCTAGTAAATTGCAATGGAATATCTAATGTCATGGGATTGATCCATAAATCAAAGAAACTTTGTCACAAGTATAATATTCGTTTTCTCTCCGCTAACATTTCTGTAAGTCTATGTTGAAAGTTATATTACAAATTTCATACATTATAATTTATATTTGTTAATTATATGTATTTAAAAGTATATTTTTTATTTTAGAATACGCAAGCCTGCTTCTTTTTAGGAAGTAGACTCCTCAATATAACGGAAGGAATATTGGGATTAAACAGCGGTATACCAGTTATTGGAACTGTCGCACAGTATAACTAGGTTACAGAGAGAGAGAGAGAGTGAGGCGTTACCTAGGGTGATTCGCAGGTAATTTACATCACATTTTCTCTCAAAAATTAAATGTTAGACTGTGTGCGTTGAAGAACCGTTATCAATTGTCAATAATATTATTTAGATCATTAAAACCAGCATTGAGATGAAAAAGTCGAGTGGTAAGGCGTACGCTTCTAGTCAGGAGGACAGTGAGAATGACAGCGACGTAACAGAATGCAGCATCGGAAGCAATTCCACCGCTGGCACTCATCGTAGCGATACGCCCACTCGCAGCGCTCGTTACAAACGGAAGGGTCGTCGCAGGAGTAAAACAGCAAAGTACAAACCTTCTACAGACAAGCCATTGTATAAGTACTGCTGTAGCGTCAAGGAAGATCATGGACAACCCTTATTTGGCGTACAATTCAATTATCATTTGAAGGAAGGCGAACCGTTGATATTTGCCTCTGTAGGTAGCAATCGCGTAAGCATCTACGAGTGTCCGCAGAGCGGAAATATACGGCTGCAACAATGTTACGCCGATCCGGATACAGAAGAGAACTTTTACACGTGTGCATGGACATACGATGATCCTGGGAAGCCTTTGTTAGCTGTGGCGGGATCACGCGGAGTCATCCGAGTTATTAGTGCCTCGACAATGACTTGCATCAAGCATTATATTGGCCACGGTCATGCGATAAACGAGCTGAAGATTCATCCCAAGGATCCAAACATCCTGTTGTCTGCATCGAAAGATCATGCTTTAAGATTATGGAACATTAAAACGGACGTGTGCATCGCGATCTTTGGTGGCGTGGAGGGCCATCGAGACGAAGTCCTGAGCGCCGATTTCGATATAAGAGGCCAAAGGATTATCTCGTGCGGAATGGATCATGCTCTTAAGTTATGGTCCTTGGACAAACCAGACATGCAGGAAGCGATAAAACAGTCCTATCATTGCAATCCCACCCGCAACGGCAGGCCCTTTGACTCGATACTCCAACATTTCCCGGACTTCACAACTCGCGACGTTCATCGAAATTACGTCGACTGCGTCAAGTGGTTCGGCGACTTTATCTTGAGCAAGTCCTGCGAAAACTGTATCGTGTGCTGGAAACCGGGTAGACTCGAGGACTCGCAGCTACGCAGTGGAGAAACGAGCGCGACGGTTTTACACCGTTTCGAGTTTAAAGAATGTGACATTTGGTTTATACGTTTCTCCATGGATTTCTGGCAGCGCACGATCGCCCTGGGGAATCAAGTCGGTCGCACTTACGTTTGGGATTTAGACGTGGACGAGCCCGGGCAAGCGCGCTGTTGGTCCCTTCAGCATCCCCGTTGCACCGCGCCAATTCGACAAACCAGCCTAAGCCGCGATGGCTCCGTGTTATTGTGCGTCTGCGATGACGCGACAATCTGGAGGTGGAATCGCGACCACTAACTCTACTCAAATCCATTTTACCATGACTAAGAAAACGTGCCTTTTCGTGCTAAGCTATATTGAATATTTGTGCTTTTTTTATAGCAATCAGTTAAATCTAGGCGAAACTTAATCTATTAATTCAGAATCTTGAAACACAAATGCAGTACATGTACGCGCATATATAATCAAAAAAGTAAGATTCCTGACGAATTGCCGAAAATTGAACATTTGTAACAGATTGGTATTCTCGACGGTTTTCGATGTAGCTGTAAAATTTTACATTATAACAAAGTTACGATTTAACTACGAAAGTATATCTAGAATTATAAATGAATGAGATTATAAAAAATAGAAAATGTTTTTGTTATATCTTTTGCGATATATCACAAACGATATTTGTATGTAGAGGAATTAATTCTGTTTTATAACTTGAAAAGATTTGTATAATTTGTCCAGAAGTGACTGCCTTCAATTAATTGTAATGCAATTTTCACGCTAAATATAATCTAATTTCAAGATCAGACAACACTGTTAGCAACAGTATCATTTTTATATCTTTGTAAAACAATAAAATTAATAAACAGAGCTCGTATTATTATTACTGTTTAATTATTAAGATCGGATTGCAGGTGTGTATTGTATTTATTATTTCGATGGGAAAGAGAGTGATCTCTCCAACAAAAAATAATTTCAAGTTGAACAGTTGGCATCATTGGCATCACCCAGCACCATCAGCATTACCGAAGTTACACGTTACGAACTGTCATTCGTTTGTACAAATCCCGAATCCCACTAACCGCTACACGACTACACGAGATTAGAAGATGAACGTTACACGTGTCGCGTGCTGTGATGTTAAGAGTTAGAAGAGAGTTTCTATTATTGTAGAAAAATATACCTAAAAGTCATTGCGATTTTGTCGATACTCAACGCACAAAGTAAGACATTTTCTTTCAAATTAATACGCGTGTGAAAGATTGCACAGTAAATACGCTTTATTTCTCGTGAGAGACACTGTTTGAAATTTACATTTCCTTGTAGATGAGAACTTTGCTGTTTTTTGGTCTATTTCTGATGGTTGCCGATGTGGAGCCCAAAGAAGTCGATCTGAAGCATTTGAGATGTTTAGGTAAAAGATCAATGCCAATTTATGTCGATCCCATTTTAACAATTAATAATAATAAATTTATCAAATAATAATTCTTGTATCTTACAGTTTGTAGGGCAACTATGAGAGAATTGGAGGAAGAAGTGCTCAGAGCTAATCCGAACAAATTAATCGACGTAGGTAATTTTAGGATGGACGCTCAAGGAAATACCATAAGTAAGAAGGTAAGAGGATCAAGAAAATGTTAAGAAAAAAATGGATTATTCGTGTTAAGTTTATTAAGAATATTTTTGCTGCTTTTATGTACTTGTAAATCCATTCTTTTGTTTCATATATTTAATTTTTATAATAGAGAATTTGGAATGTTATTTTCAGATTCCATTAGGTCAGTCGGAAACGCATATTTCAATGTTACTGGACAATATCTGCGACAAGTTAGCTGATTACGTGAGAGCGACGAGGAAATCCGACAATCAGTTAACGATCTTCAACCTCATGTCCCCGTCAGGTGGTATGAATCCTATGATGAGCGAAGTAGATATAATTCAAGATGGTGATTTAAATAAGAGCCTCCAGCATTACGTGAGTGCTGCACGTTACATTTTACGTTAACCGAAGATACGTTCTTTTCCATTAATTTGAATCGATTTTCAGTGCAGCGCTATAGTGAGTGAATTTGAGGAAGATATAGTGTCATTATACGTCAATAGCATGCAAAATAAGGAAAAGGAATTTTGCACAAAGATTTCGCGTATCTGCAACGAGAATTATGTCGATGATGAAGACGACGATGATAGCGACGATGGTGATAATTATGTTGATGCAGATTTTGACATAGATAGAGATGAATTGTAAATGCATTTGGAATAATTTTTACAGAAATATTACTTTATATGTGTAAGTAAAAAGAGAAGTAGATATTAAGTATATACCTAATTCAGCTGTTTTCATCTTGCGAAAAATTCTATGAATATTAATAAGAATAATAAATATTCCACATTTTACAATGCAATTAATTACTCTCAATATTTCAAACTTATTACGATTAAATGCTAAAATGCTAAAATGTATAATTGTGATTTAAACGTGCAACATAAAGGCAACAGAGATTTATCGCAGAGAGTATTTCGACAGTTATAAAAATATAATTACATATTTATATTATAAAAATGTATAAAAGAGAAAAAATTAAATAAATATTTTCTAAATGGTCTAAATAATCTAAATATCTATGTGTATTATAATATGCGAAGCGTATATATGCACGTGCATGTGTACCGACGTTATTGCAGTTTTATCGATAATACTATCGTTACCGTCGCACGTGTGAGCCCTGCAAAACCGACGAATGCAAATGCTAAAGACAGACAGCGCTAAAGAACAGTCTCCTCTTATCCGAGAGAGGAGTATAAGCAGCTTTGGTGTTCGATGGTATTCAGGTACTTCAGGTTCGGGTCAATCGGGTCTCTCGCCTGACTTCTCGTCTCGTTCTCGTCGTTCTCGTCAGACAGAAGGTGTCAGAAGGAGACGGGATTTAGGAGCGATCCCGGGTGAGAGAGCTGGTGAGAGCTGAGAGCTTCCAGCCGAGATCAGCTTCCGTCTCGGCGTATTTCGACGCGTGTGCGTACGCGTTTGTGTATGTACGTACACGCGTTCGCGTGGACGATGACGGTGTCGGTCCATTTGTTTCGGGAACAACGTCGAGAGCGCGCGTGAGCCGAGAGGAAGGCCCATCCGTCCGTCCGTTCGTCCGTCCGTCCGTCGAACATATGACCGTAGCCCCCCTGCCGACGGCCGGAGGCGAGGGCGAGGGCGAGGGCGCGCGTCGTGGTGCGTGGTGAGAACGTCGTCGGTTTCTGGGAAGCGCGAAGCGCGATCGTTCGCCCGACTCCGCGCGGAAATGACAAAGCGCGCCCCACACGCGCGTCAGCAGTGAAAAGACCGTTCGCGATCGCGGACTCCGGTAATCCCGAGCGGTAGGCAGCGGAGAGCGCGGCGTCAGACATGAGTTCCGTCTGGAAACGGCTGCAGCGGGTGAACAAGAGAGCCGCCAAGTTTCAGTTCACCGTCTCTTACCATGAGGTCACGCTAGAGACGACGACGAAGTGGTGAGTGACGCCGATTCCTGGTTCCTGGTTTCTGGCGAGAGCTTCCTTTCGCCGCGGCCTTCCGCTGAATCCGGACCCTATCCGAATAGAAACTAACATTAATTGCTCCTCATTTCAACGAGGGTCTAAAGTCTAAAATGTGTTATTGTCGTCTGCTTCTGGAAACAGAAGCGATTACTTTTGGGAAGAAAAGCAATAGGAATTTTTCTTCTTTTTAAATTAATATTTTGGAAGTAAAAGAATCAAGTGATATATGTATATGTCAATATAGATTGCTGTCTTGCGTTCAAATTTTTGCATATTGTAAATTATATTGCGCTCCAGGAAATGTGTGTTTATGTTTATGACAATGCAATTTAGATGACATTTTTTAATTAATATAACTATGCACATATCTTGGAAAGACTGTATATATATGAAATAATTGCAATCTATTATAAGATTAAAAACTGTATATAATCTGTAGAAATATATTATTTGTCCACTTTATCAGGAGAAAAAGTATATAAAGATAATAATATTTTCTAGGAAACCAAACAAACTGAGCGTTGTTTGGACAAGACGTAGCAGAAGAGTTAGTTCGGAGCCCTTAGACTGGGAGCCATGTTTGAGCGATCCCCTGAAAGGCATTATAAGCTGGGCAGTTCCCGACAATCACACCGTCTCTGTGACACTATTTAAAGATCCGCGAACGCACGAGCTAGAAGACAAGGATTGGACATTTGTTATCGAAGATGTGAGTATAGAAGGCTGGTACACTTGTGAAAGAATATAGCACAATGGTGTATTGTTCTATTTACGAGCAGGTGTCGTCGACGGGAAAAAGGCGTCATGTCGCTGCCACTAATATAAATATGAAAAAATATGCAACCCTAGAATCTAGTCAGCAACAACTCAAATTGGACTTGAAGCCAACGTCTAAAAAAATTGTTAGCTCTACACTCGAATGCACTTTATCATGTGTGTTTCTGCGAGAGGGCAAAGCGACGTAAGTGTGCAGTTTACTTTCATTCACATGCTGCTAATTAATTTCATAAGCTTGGTGGAAGCACTTGTGTCATTTATGTAACTAAATGTATATCAAACAGGATAGGTATTAAATAATGCATTTTAAAGATAGTATGCTGAGTCTATCGGTTTACCTGAAAATATTTGTTATTAAAGTGCCATTTATTTGGATTCATTGTGGTAAATGCTTATTCACTAATTATTTGTATTTGTATTTTATTTATTATTTTTTTATTTTTTTTTACATACCTCTAAGACCCAGTTTCATAAGTGTCGGTTAACTTTTAATCTTAGATTAACTCACTCTTTGCTTCCTTCTAACGTCCCCCTTAGAAAAAGACGAAGAGTGAGTTAATCTAAGATTAAAAGTTAACCGACACTTGTGAAACTGGTCCTAAGAGGGTTGGCCACTTCTCTACCTTGTTAGTGTTTCCCACTTACAAGGGGGTACTTATTTTTTTAGGGACGAAGATATGCAAAGTATGGCTAGTTTAATGTCGGTTAATAATAATAGCGACATTGCGCCGTTAGATGATTTTGATAACGAAGATATACCTGAAGACGTTGAGGAAGTGTCGGTAAAAAATTTGGACGAGATTTTAGATATTTCAGCTCAACTTGATTTAATGACTAGCAGTCTTACTGAAAGTGAATTACCCAGTAGTCCTATAAGTGGTGAGTAATGATCCTTGCTTCTTATTGAAACTGCATCAAATGTAAAACTTGTAATTGCTATCTTAATTTTAACTTTTTGCTTTATCAATTTTAATGTAATTTATGGAATTTATCAAATTTACTAATAAAATATATAATGTGTATAGTGGCAAGTTTATCAAAGGATGATACAACTCCTGTAAACGATGGAGAGCATTTTATACGCGACATTAGTCTAACAGGAATTGGAGATACTTTAAAAGAAAAATCACCCATAAAAGACAATGTTGCCGTTGAGAATGAGTACGTATAGTTACGATATTACATACTTTACGAAATAGCGCGCATGTGCGCTAATAGAGTATAATATTAAAATAACATACTCGATAATAATAACTAAATATTACGTTCGCAAAGAGTTTAGTATATATATTTCTTTCACTTACAACGAACAAAGGTATCATTCTATTTAACACAGTAAATGTAATAATTACAAATTCAACATCTTTGCAGTAAAAACATTGAACATAGCACATTGAGATTGCCGCTGCAACCATTGGATCTTAAAAAAAATGACGCAAATGTTCCAAGACTGAAAGAGATTACTCCCGGACAAGATCTATTGGAATGGTGTAAAGAAGTTACAAAGGATTATCCCGGCGTCAAAGTCACCAATCTGACGACATCTTGGAGAAATGGAATGGCGTTTTGCGCGATTATTCATAATTTTAGACCTGATCTGATGTAAGTATTCTTATAAGCTTCATCTTTATCGGATGTCGTAATTATCATAAAGTATTTCATTCTTCGCGCTACCTTTTCTTGGAACAAAATGTCAATAGACAATCTTGGCCATATGCCAGTTATTTTATTCGCGTATTCCATTAATAAACACTTTGAAATCGTCATTGTCTTGTGTCGAGTAACTCGTGCCAACATTTTGATGATTATTTTTGATGCTGGAAAGGTCGACGCATTTGTAATATTTATAGCAACACATGTGATAAAAGTTTTATTGCATCTTGATCAAACTGAATAATACTTGAAATAAAAACTTGTAGAGACGTCGATTCCTTATTGCCGCACGATGTTAAAGGCAATTGTAAGAAAGCGTTTGATGCGGGTGAAATTTTGGGCATACCCAGAGTTATCGAACCAGCTGACATGGATATATTAACGGTACCTGATAAATTAGCTGTGATGACATATTTGTATCAATTAAGAGCGCATTTTACCGGCCACGAATTGGAGGTATTTCAAAAAAATACTAAATTTTCTTATGTAATGACTTTATCTAATTATTTTATATTTGTTTGTTTTTTTCCCCCATATCTTTGCACAGTACTATATCTAATACTACAGACAGCATAATATGACTAATAATATATTATTCTTTTAAAAAATCTAGGTACATCAAATAGGTAAAACAACAGACGAGTCATCTTATATGATTGGCAGATTTAATACAGACAACAATACGGACGTAAGTGTCCAACTGTTTGGTCAGGAGATTATTAACTTACGGAAAAAGGAACAGATTGATCAAAGAAACAATAAAGCAGAAAGTAACCGAAGGTAAATATATTCTCAATGACGTTATGTAATCTGTCGAATGGTCAAAGCACATTCTTAGCAGAAACATTTATCGGGAACAAGATTAGAAATTGCAATTCATTATTGTAGGTCGAATCCGTTCGATAATAAGAAGGATGACATTTGCATCGACTCGTTAAAAAACAAGTTGCACTTGAGCCTGAACACGGACAATCAGGATCACGATCAATGTAACAAAGACAAATCACCATCCAGCGTGAAGGAGGTCAAGGATATCATATTGGCCAGCTCAAAGAGCATTCTGGGCAAGGTGCTATCGCCGACCAAGGAAAAGTACTCATCGAGAGAGAAGGTACGTAGAAATACGTACTGGCTGAACTCGAGTGAATTTCGACGTTGCGATTATTCCCGAGAATTGTCTAGAGAAACGTCGCGTATAATATTCGACGGAATTCGCGCGCAAATTTCTTTCGTTGTGAGGAAATGAAATACCAATTTACCGTAGAGCAAGTCTCCGCCGAGAGTGCAACAAGCGCAGCAACGTCCGATACTTATGACACGCCGGCAATTAACCGATCCGTTCGGCTCCGACGACGAAGAGGAGAACATACAGATAATCGATGACAAATGGTCGCAATCGATCTCGCTTACCAAATCGCAAAGTCCGGTCCGTGATGTCAGTATATACGAGATTGCGCAGACTGTCGCTTTTTATGCATTCCTTCTGTTATACCTCGCTGCATTAACAATAAACCCATAACGCGCACTGTTGTATCTCTTTCTGTTATTTCTTTTCACCGGCGGATTATGTCAAAATGTATTGTCTACATCTACCAGGATCTGTTACTTTACTTTTTGTTCATTATAAGCGAACAGATT